TTTCCTACCTCGATGCAGCAACAGGAGATCAGAAGAAGAAGGCCATCGAGGATGTACAAAGCGGATGCAAACATTATATCAGAAGCATTGCTGGTGATGAGAAAGCCGACGAATTCAAGAAGATGAGAGAAAGTGGTGTTTCTATTGATGAAATTGCAAAGAAGGTTGACGCCTTAGTCGATGAACTTACCAACGAAGAGGTTAAAGCACAGGCGAAAAAAGCCAAAGTCCTTTGTAAAGCAGTATTCTCCGCTCCAAAACGAATGAGAAGAGAGCAGCACAAGCATACTTTTGAAGAAGCTATGGAAAACTACCTTACTTGGCTGAGTGCTGATCAAAAAATCGAGATGAAATCATTACATGAGGCTGGAGATAAAGGTGCTTTGTATGAGAAAATTATGGAAATGTTTGATGAAGCTACAGGAGAGACAAAGGAGAAAGCTGCATCCGAACTTAAGAGCGCTTGCAAACATTATGTCAGGGATCTGATCGGCGAAGGAAATGCAGAGAAACTTCGAGAACTTAAAGATAACGGTGCTACAAATGATATGATCGCTACGAAGGTTGAGGAGATGATAGAAGAGATTGCTGACGGAACGCGAAAGGAACAAGCCGTGCAAGCATCGCAGTACTGTAAGAAGATCTACAATGTGGCACGTCGCATGAGAAGAGATAAGCATGAGCACAACCTTGAAGAAGCTTTAGAGAAGTACTTGACATGGCTAAATGCTGAACAAAAGGAAGAAGTAAAGAAAATTTTTGAAAGCGAAGATCGTGATGCGCTATATGGAAAAGTCATGGAATACTATGAAAAAGCCAGCGGTGATGTGAAGGAAAAAGCCACGCTTGAGCTCAAAGCTGCCTGCAAACATTATGTAAAAGACTCTATCGGTGAAGAGAATGCGAACAAGCTTAAAGAAATGAAAGAAAGTGGTGCCACGGATCAAGAGATTGCGGCAAAAGTAGACGAGTTCATCAGTGCAATTACTGACGAAAAGAAGAAGGCACAAGCTGAACGCGCCAACAAAGGATGTAAGAAGATTTATGGGGTAGCTAAGCGCATGAGAAGAGGTGAGGAGCACCATCATGATCTTGAAGAGGCGTTGAAAAAATACCTTACATGGATGAATGATGAACAGAAAGCTGAGGTGAAGAAAACATTAAAGGGAGGAGATCGTTTAGCTGCCTACAAACAGGTAATGGAATTCTTCAATGGTGCTAGTGGAGAGACAAAAGAGAAAGCTGCAGTAGAACTCAAAGCCGCTTGCAAACATTATGTGAAGGAGTTAATTGGTGAAGAGAAGTCAGCCAGAATAAGACATATGAAGGAAAGTGGAGCCACGAATGAGGCCATTGCCCAGGAGCTGGACGCAATCATTTCGCTGATTCCGAATGAGAAGAAAAGGCTTCAAGCCCAGCATGCTGCTGCGGATTGCAAGAAAATCTTTGGAGTAGCGAAAAGGCTGAGAAGAGAACATCATGAACATAATTTGGAAGAAGGTTTCCAGAAATATTTAACATGGCTCACTGAAGATCAGAAAAGTGAGTTGAGAAAGCTGGACGAAAAGAAAGATACTGAAGGAATACGTAAGAAAATTCTGGAGTATTTTGAAAGTGCCAGTGGCGACCTCAAAGGCAAAGCTACGGAGGGATTGAAAGAAGGATGCAAACATTACATCACTTCATATATCGGAAAAGAGAAGGCCGATGAACTGAAGAAGTTGAAAGATTCCGGAGCGACCGATGCGGATATGGCTAAGAAAGTCGATGAATACATAGAAACAATTTCCGATGAAGAGGTAAAGGAAAAGGCGAAAAAAGCGGCAACTACTTGTCGCAAGGTCTACGGTGTGACAAAAGCACGGCGCCATCTTGCTGCTAGACGCTTCCGAAAGCCGGTAGCACCTTATTTGGAAGATATTTTATTTTGAAGAATGAGTAGATCACACATGTTTATAATATCAAAGTAGTGTTTATGACCTACAGCTCCACTTCTTGAATGTGTTTGTTTCATTTAGATCAGCTTTGTTTGTCTGTACCGTTTGGTAATTATTTCTTCGCAATAAACTAGTTATTTAGGTTTACTTCTTTCTTTCCTCAAACATTTCGGGCACGGAAGAAGTTAAATGTGAAAAAGAACCAGTCCAAGATTACGGTATTCTACGTCCCTGAATTAAATTC